AGCTGGTATTGATGATGTTAGCTGGTATTGATGATGTTAGCTGGTATTGATGATGTTAGCTGGTATTGATGATGTTAGCTGGTATTGATGATGTTAGCTGGTATTGATGATGTTAGCTGGCTATTGACGATGTTGCTGCTACTCGCAACTGCTTTTCCAGGTTTTGCTCTCCTAGATTGATTGAATTTCGAGTCCCGCCTGCGTTTGCCTTGGCAGGGCCAGAGACTCCAAATGATTCCGCGGTGCCTCATACGGCCCACGGGCCTCGGACGTTCCCCACCCATGATTATAAAGAAATCTGTCTCTGGTGTGGACCAATCAGTTTCAAAGACAACGCATCATCATCGTACTATCAGAGTACGTTTTATATTCTTGGTTCTTTCGGTAAAGTCACCACGTTGAAGGGAAACAATAAAATAACAATAAAAATATATAAAACAATAGTGATAATTTTATTGTTTTATATATATTTGTATTATTTTATTGTTTCCTTTCTACGTGGTGATTTTACCGAAAGAATCAAGAATATGAATCACTGCAGTCACGAAAGCTTTAAATCAAAATTTAGAGTGTGCTTTGTTTTGGTTTGCATTCTGACCACAAGCATTGTGGGTAATGCAGACATGATTCATCGTTAAAAGGTTTCAGTTTGGTGTTTTAACATCTTGACACAACTGTTTTGTTGGCAGAGAAAAAGGGGAAAACCTATTCTCATGAGATGTTGACTGCCTCGCCTGTATGCAGGGGGCAGGGGGGCGTGAGCTCACAATCTATGGGTCTCTGTGGGTCTCTGTGGGTCTCTGTGGGTCTCTGTGGGTCTCTGTGGGTGTCTGTGGGTCTCTGTGGGTCTCTGTGGGTCTCTGTGGGTCTATGTTGGTCTCTGTGGGTGTCTGTGGGTCTTTATGGGTCTCTGTGGGTCTCTGTGGGTCTATGTGGGTCTATGTTGGTCTATGTGGGTCTCTGTGGGTCTCTGTGGGTCTCTGTGGGTCTATGTTGGTCTCGGTGGGTCTCTGTGGGTCTCTGTAGGTCTCTGTGGGTCTCTGTGGGTGTCTGTAGGTCTCTGTGGGTCTCTGTGGGTCTATCTTGGTCTCTGTGGGTCTCTGTGGGTCTCTGTATGTCTCTGTGGGTCTCTGTGGGTCTATGTTGGTCTCTGTGGGTCTCTGTGGGTCTCTGTGGGTCAAGGTTGGGCTCTATGGGTCTCTGTGGGTCTCTATGGGTCTCTGTGCGTCTCTATGGGTCTCTGTAGGTCTCTGTGGGTCTCTGTGGGTCTATGTTGGTCTCTGTGGGTCTCGGTGGGTCTATGTGGGTCTCTATGGGTCTCTGTAGGTCTATGTTGGTCTCTGTGGGTCTCTGTGGGTCTCTATGGGTCTCTGTGCGTCTCTATGGGTCTCTGTATGTCTCTGTGGGTCTCTGTGGGTCTCTGTGGGTCTCTGTGGGTCTATGTTGGTCTCTGTGCGTCTCTCTGGGTCTCTATGGGTCTCTATGGGTCTCTGTGGGTCTATGTTGGTCTCTGTGGGTCTCTCTGGGTCTCTATGGGTCTCTGTGGGTCTCTGTGGGTCTCTGTGGGTCTATGTGCACTGTGGGTCTCTATGGGTCTCTGTGGGTCTCTGTGCGTCTCTATGGGTCTATGTTGGGTCTCTGTGGGTCTATGTTGGGTCTCTATGGGTCTATGTTGGGTCTCTGTGGGTCTATGTTGGGTCTCTGTGGGTCTCTGTGGGTCTCTATGAGTCTCTGTGGGTCTCTGTGGATCTCTATGGGTCTCTATGGGTCTCTGTGGGTCTCTATGGGTCTCTGTAGGTCTCTGTGGGTCTCTATGGGTCTCTGTGGGTCTCTGTGGGTCTTTATGGGTCTCTGTGGGTCTCTATGGGTCTCTGTGGGTCTATGTTGGGTCTCTGTGGGTCTCTGTGGGTCTCTATGGGTCTCTGTGGGTCTATGTGGGTCTCTGTGGGTCTATGTGCACTGTGGGTCTCTATGCGTCTCTGTGGGTCTATGTTGGTCTCTGTGGGTCTCTGTGGGTTTCTGTGAGTCTCTGTGCACTGTGGGTGTCTGTGGGTCTCTGTGGGTCTCTATAGGTCTCTGTGGGTCTTTATGGGTCTCTATGGGTCTATTTGGGTTTCTGTGGGTCTCTGTGGTTCTCTATGGGTCTATTTGGGTTTCTGTGGGTCTCTGTGGGTCTCTATGGGTCTATTTGGGATTCTGTGGGTCTCTGTGGGTCTCTATGGGCCTCTATGGGTCTTTGTGGGTGTCTATTGGTCTCTATCATTCTGTAGGAAGCATACAGAAGAATCGGTTTGACCCTTTCTTAGTTATTTTTTATACTCTGACACTGAAACTAAAAGGTCCCCGTTTATGTGACGATCCCATTGTGTTTTGCTGCTTCCGTTCGTGGCAGCCGACCTCGCTTCTCGAAGAGAATCTGCTGACTCAGCTGGAAAAAAACTAATCGAATTTAACATCACATTCTTGGTTCTTTCGGTAAAGTCCCGTAGAAGGGAAACAACAAAATAATAAAATGAAAACCGCCACTTTTTTCAAATTTTCTTGCTGTGGTTTTCACACCTGATGATGATTGCTTCTTGCGTTGCAGTCGAAACGTCGTGAGAATTTTTTATTGTTTTATATTTTCATTGTTTCCCTTCTACGTGGTGACTTTACCGAAATATCTTCTTTGGTTCTTTCGGTAAAGTCACCACGTAGAATGAGAATAAAATAATAAAATAAAACAATAAAATTATCGCCTAAAATAATAAAATAAGACAATAAAATTCTCACGACGTTTCGGCCACAACACAAGTAGCCTTCTTCAGGTGAAGGAACAAAAACTGTCGGAACAGCGGCGCTTTAGTGAACACTGTTAACATTCGTAGCGTCTTGATTTAAAGCTTTCGTGACTGCAGTAATTCATATTCTTAGTTCTTTCGGTAAAGTCACGTTGAAGGGAAACAACAACGTGACTTTACCGAAAGAAATAAGATTATTCGTAGCGTCTTTTAAGCTGGTTGAGAGAAGTGAGTCAATCGAAATTTACCGAAAGAACCAAGAATATGAATCCCTGCAGTCATGAAAGCTTTAAATAAAAATGTAAACTCATTCTTTGGAAGAACGTCATCAACCAGGTGGGGTGGTTGGAGGCGGGGGGTGTTGACTGTTGTGTTTGCTGTAACTGTGTCGCATTATGTTTGTCTAAGTTCACGAAGTTTCGTGTTCTTATTATCTCATTCATTCCTGCCTGATAACGGTTGCTTGATTTGCAAACCGAAATGTCGGTCTCGATTTTGATTTTGATTTTCCACGTCGACTTTACGGAAATAAGCAAAGGGTCATTCCTGCAGTCACGAAAGCTTCGAATGAAGTTTGAAATACAAATATAAAGTTTAGGTTAAGTTCGTCATTTGCTTAACTCGCCATTAAATCAGCACCCGCATCGCGTCTGTTGGTGCCGGTTGCGTTCTGCAGGACGTCTGTGAGTGAAAGGAGCTTTACAGCTTATCGGATTCCTCTTGTGGTAATAATATAAATACGTTGATTCTGATGGCTGTGCACATCAAACATTGCCTCGTCACGGGTCAACGTCACAATCACACCATCAACGTCATCATCATCATCATCACATACATCATCATCGTCATCCGTAATATCGTCATCAGCACCACCACCACCACCACCATCATTTCATACAATGCATAGTCACCATCATCACCACCACCACCACCACATACACCATCATCACACACATCATCATCATCATCACAAACATAATCACCATTACCACATCATCATCACAAATATCATCACCACCGACATCATCACCACCACATACACCATCATGCCAACATACATCATCATCACCATCATCATCTATATCTTCTTTGGTTCTTTCGGTAAAGTCACGTAGAATGAGAATAAAATAATAAAATAACACAATAAAATTCTCACGACGTTTCGGCCACAACGCAAGCGGCCGTCTTCGTTGTGGCCGAAACGTCGTGAGAATTTTATTGTGTTATTTCATTATTCTATTCTCATTCTGTGTGACTTTACCGAAAGAACCAAAGAAGATGAATCCTTGCAGTCACGAAAGCTTTAAATCGAAAAATCATCTACATCATCATCACATACATCATCGCCACCACATACACCATCATCACAAACATCATCACAAACATAATCACCATTACCACATCATCATCACAAATATCATCATCACCACAGACATCATCACCACCATATACACCATCATCCCAACATCATCATCACCATCATCATCTACATCATCATCACCACCACATACACCATAATCCCCACATACATCATCATCACCATCATCATCTACATCATCATCACATCATCATCACCACCACATACACCATCATCACCACAGACTTCATTACATACATCATCATTCGTAAAATCGTCATCAGCAGCACCACCACCACCATAGTCACCATCACCAGCATCATGACATCATCATCACATTCATCATCATCTACATCATCATCACATACATCATCACTATCCCCAGCATCATCACATTATCATCACATTCATCATTACATACATCATCATCCGTAACATCCTCATCAGCACCACCACCATTTTATACCATGCATCGTCACCATCATCATCATCACATACGCAGCACCATCATCATCCGTAACGTCGTCACCACCACCATCATCATCATCAGCAGCCCCACCAGTTAAAACATCATCACGATCACCAATTCTAACGACGGGCCGATAGAACCCGTACCAACCCTACCCCGCCCCCCCCCCCCCCCCCGTGTGAAAGAGCACTCGGCACGCACGCACTCATGCCGAGGGTCGTCCCGCACTCGCCACAGGAACGTGGAATGTCCCACCACACCTGGGTTAACTTAGAGCAGCGTGGCACGCCAAATGTTCGCCCCGCGATGTTCGCCGGGCGCCTCCGGAACGCGGCTCGCAGAAAAGTTTGGCGGAAAACTCCGCACGGTGGGAGCAGCGCAAGCCCCTTCTCACCTCGTCCTCCCACCTCGTCCTCTCACCTCGTCCTCCCACCACCTCCTTCAGACGCTCTTGAAGTCCCGTGACGAGGTCAAAGTGGATTTGAAGTGACTCCTGTAAGCCGTGCGGAGCTGTGTGGTCTCGCTCGCTCGCTCTGTGTGAACTTTTAAAGAAGTTTCTAAATCTCTCTCTCTCTGCCTCTCTCTCTCTCGCTCTCTCTCTCTCTGTGAACGTTTAGAAAAGTTCCCAAATCTGCGCGTGGCTCCCTCTCTATTTCTCTCTCTCTCGGTGAACGTTAAAGCAGTTTCCAAATCTGTGTGTGTCTCTCTCTTTATGTGAACGTTTACAAAAGTTTCCAAATTTGTGTGTGTGTCTCTCTCTGTCTCTGTGCACGTTTTAAAAAAGTTTCTAAATCTGTGTGTCTCTCTCTCTCTCTCTGTTTCTCTCGCTCTCCCTTTTCTCTCGCTCTCTCTCTACGGAGGAGGAGGAATCTGCTTGGGTGCGGTGGTGACGCCAGAGCCCATACAAAGGCAAAGGTCCCCCGTGTAGCCTTGGGCAGAATTTGCGTTTTTTTGGAGGGGCGGTGGGGCAAAGTGCCTTGTGAGCAGCGACCACTGTGGCAGCAGAAGCGCCACCTATGAAGGCTACCGGCGATGTGGCACACGAGGTGGGTGGGTGGCCAGCACCACCACGCCCGGCCGCCTTTGTCTCTCCACTCCGCCGGTGTGACTGCTACCACTACACCAGGTACTCGCTTGAGGCTGAGTCGACCTTGGGGAGGCCCGGGACCGGTTTCAGATCATCGTCGCTGTTCTTGGCCCCAATGCGGTGATCACACACAGACACACAGACACACACGCACAGACACACACACGCACACACAGACACACACACACAGACACACACGCACAGACACACACACGCACACACACGCACACACACAGACGCACACACACAGACGCTCGCACACACACAGACGCACACACACGCGCGCACACACACATACACACACACAGACACACACACAGACACACGCAACAACAACCGCCAATCGCCACTAAGTAGCGGTGACGTCACCACGACGCTTGTGCCAGGACATGTGCACCTTGAGGCCACGTGACGAACGCCCGCTGGCAGGTCACGGGGCAGACCCAGGTGCCACGGGTCGACTGATTGAGATGACCGAGATGACTGGCTGATGCACCACCTGTGCCCCCTACTGTGCCAACTTGCTCTGCTTTAGCCACCCGGCGCTCCGCTCGTTGTTGTGAGCGTCGCTTCTCCGCCCTCTGTTGTTGTTGGAGGGCGACTGCCTCCAACTGCCCAGTAGCGTCCTTCACGAGCCTCCTCCTCCACAGAGGCCGATCTTGACACCGCTGGTACCAGTCATCGGCAAGGCCACATCACTCCATCTCTTCTCCAGCCCGTGCCGCGCCCGTTTAGCCCCCTCTATCCGGCCGAAAAAAAGCTGTTTCGGCATGCGGTGACTGGGCATGCGGGCTACATGACCCAGCCAACGCAGCCTTGCCTGCCGGAGGAGCTCACCGATGGGACTTTGCCCAGATCTTTCAAGGATTTGTGAGCTCCTCACACAGTCCAGCCTGATTAAACCCAGGATGGATTGTAGGCAGGCCAGCCTAAATGTTTCCAACCGGCAAAGATGCTCCATTAGGGGGGTCCACGTTTAGCAAGCGTAGAGAAGGGAGGGAATGACCATGGCCGAGAAGATCTGAAGCTTCTTGCGGAGCGACAGACCAGGAAGCTTTCACACAGCGATACGCAACCGATGAAAAGATATTGCCGCTCGACTGATTCTGAGTGAGACTTCTGCTGTTAAACCGGAGCCGGTCATTAGCACACTGCCCAGGTATGGGAAACTCTCCACTCTCTCTACAATTGCCCCATCACCGATTGGGAGTTGTGGGGGTGGAGTGTCCGATGGTACAAAATACCCAGGCAGGTGCTTAGTTTTGGTGGGGCTGATGGTAAGTCCCCACCTCTTGGTGGCAAGCTCCAGGTTCAGCAGCAGCGCCTCTAAATCCTCCTCTGAGTGAGCAGCAATTACCAGATAATCGGCATCTATAACGTGGTTGACCAATAGGGGGCCTCCCATTGTATCTTTACCAGATGGAAATTCCTCTGGTACAGCCATCAAAGGCTTCCCGAACTACGTGGTCAAAATAGATGTTAAATAATGTGGGAGCCAGAGGACATCCCTGTCGCACCCCAAGGTGAACAGGGAATGGCTCCGACTCCCGGCCACGTAGTTTTACCCGGGCCTGCTCACCATCGTGAAGGTCCTTAATGACCGTGAGCAGAGGATCAGGGACTCCAAAAACACGAAGAACGACCCAGAGCCCAGGCCTACTGATGGTATCATAGGCCTTGACAAGGTCAATAAAGCAGAGATGTAGGACTTGTTGGAATTCCCTACACCTCTGCTGTAGCAGACGGTCAGAAACTATGGCATCTGTGCAGGACCGCCCTTTCCTGAAACCGCATTGGGGCTCCGCAAGCCTCTCCTCAGCGTGCCTGGCAAGGCGATGTTGAATAATCCTTGCCAGAACCTTTCACGGCAAACTGAGGAGTGAGATGCCCCTGTAGTTGTTACAGTCTGTGCGGCCCCCTTCTTAAAGAGGGGGACCACCAGGGCATCCTTCCAATCCTGCGGAACCCGTCCAGTGGTCCAGACTGTTGTTATGAGTTGGAGCCATTCCCTGTACACCTTGGGGTGCGTCAGGGATGTCCTCTACATTATTGAACATCGATGTAGACCACTTAGTTCGTGAAGCCTTCAATACATGTACCGGAGGAATTTCCATCTGGTACAGATACAATGGGAGTCTGATCGATGCCCGGGTGCTGTCAAGGGATGGCTCCCTATTGGTCAACCACGTTATGTATGCCGATGACCTGGTAATTGCTGCTCACTCAGAGGAGGAGTTGGGGACGCTGCTGCTGCTGAGACTGGAGCGTGCCACCAAGCGATGGGGCCTTACCATCAAGCCCCACCAAAACTAAGCACCTGCCTGGGTATTTTGTACCATCGGACACTCCAGATCCACAACTCCCAATCGGTGATGGGGCAGTTGTGGAGAGTAGTGGAGAGTTTCCCACTACCTGGGCAGTGTTGCTCATGGACCGACTCCGGTTTGACAGCAGAGGTCTCACTCAGAATCAGTCGAGCGGCATTATCTTGACCTTTTAAGGGCCCGGACGCTGTGCGGGCCAGTGGTGAGACTCTAAGACTCCCGGCCAGAGGCCCTTGTAAGGGTGTCGGGCCGAGGAAGCCGGAGGTCTGGACCCGTACCTTGGCTGGGTCGGCTCTCCGGAACCCATTACATTTATACGTAGTAGCTACTACACATGTAGTACACATGTGTAGTGATTGTAGAATCACTACTGTGTACACACGCACAAGCGTGACGTCACTATGCGGGGGAGCGTCATGACCACGCGGGTCTACACACACGCATGACGTCATCCCGGCTGGAGGCGGGAATGACGTCAGGGCCGGTTCTGGGCTCCGGGAGGCCACGAGGGTGGTGTGAGGCCGTGGCACTCTCTGTGACCCCGGCTGGACACGTGACTGGGGGCCTAGGGGGCACCTCGGAGGGCACGTGGACAGCAGGGGGGCTTCGAGAGGGTTCTCGAAGGGAGGCGTGGCCGGGGTGGGGCCCGGGCACGCCGAGGCCTATATAAGCAGCCTCCTCACGAGGTTCGAGGCTGCCCGTATCAAGAACGAAGATGCATCGTGAAGATGCCAAGAGGAGTCAAGCCTCCAGTCAGCGGACCTGGCAGTAGCCCACCTGGCTGGATTAACGCTAGAGTATTTGAGAAGTATGTGTTAGCTAGAGTAGGTCGGTGGTCACCATCTTATGTACAGTGTTATATTACTTACCGTCCTAATAAATCAGCGTTGCCTCCCAAGGAGTCGTGTGTGCACCTAATTCGAACCCACTACACATGTGTAGTAGCTACTACATGTGCGCTACATGTAGTCGTAGCTACTACACATGTAGCACACATGTAGTACACATGTAGTAGCTACTATATATAGAGTAAATGTGTAGTAGCAACTACATGTGTAGTAGGTACTACATATATAGTAGCTACTACACATACTACACATGTAGTAGCTACTACACATGTAGTAGCTACTACATGTGTAGTACATGTGTAGTAGCTACTACACATGTACTACACATGTAGTACACATGTAGTAGCTACTACACATGTGTACTACATGTGTAGTAGCTACTACACATGTAGTACACATGTAGTAAACATGTAGTAGCTACTATATATAGAGTACATGTGTAGTAGCAACTACATGTGTAGTAGGTACTACACATGTGCTACATGTGTAGTAGCTACTACATATATAGTAGCTACTACACATGTAGTAACTATCGATTTAAAGCTTTCGTGACTGCAAGGATTCATCTTCTTTGGTTCTTTCGTTAAAGTCACCACGTAGAATGAGAATAAAATAATAAAATAAAACAATAAAATTCTCACGACGTTTCGGACAGGTTGTTCCTTTCACCTGAAGAAGGCCACTTGTGTTGTGGCCGAAACGTCGTGAGAATTTTATTGTTTTATTTTATTATTTTATGTGAGAATTTTATTGTTTCATTTTATTATATTATTCTCATTCTACGTGACTTTACCGAAAGAAACAAAGAAGATGTAGTAACTACTATATATAGTAGCTACTCTATATGTAGTAGGTACTACATATGTAGTAGCTACTACACGTGTACTACACATGTAGTAGCCACTACACATGTAGTAGTTACACAGTAGCTACTACAGATGTACTACACATGTAGTAGCTACTACACATGTAGTAGTTACACAGTAGCTACTACACGTGTACTACACATGTAGTAGCTACTACACATGTAGTAGTTACACAGTAGCTACTACACCTGTACTACACATGTAGTAGCCACTACACATGTAGTAGTTACACAGTAGCTACTACACATGTACTACACATGTAGTAGCTACTACATGTAGTAGTAGGTACTAAATATATAGAAGCTACTACATATGTAGCTACTACATATGTAGTAGCTACACATGTACTACATATGTAGTAGCTACACATGTACTACATATGTAGTAGCTACACATGTACTACATATGTAGTAGCTACACATGTGCTACATATGTAGTAGCTACACATGTACTACATATGTAGTAGCTACACATGTGCTACATATGTAGTAGCTACACATGTACTACATATGTAGTAGCTACACATGTACTACATATGTAGTAGCTACTACACATGTACTACATATGTAGTAGCTACACATGTACTACATATGTAGTAGCTACACATGTACTACATATGTAGTAGCTACACATGTACTACATATGTAGTAGCTACACATGTACTACATATGTAGTAGCTACACATGTACTACATATGTAGTAGCTACACATGTACTACATATGTAGTAGCTACTACATATGTAGTAGCTACTACACATGTACTACATATGTAGTAGCTACACATGTACTACATATGTAGTAGCTACTACATATGTAGTAGCTACTACACATGTACTACATATGTAGCTACTTTTTGCTACCAGGCTTATGAGACACTGGACGAGTGGCCAGGAAAATGACCGAGAATTGGGGCGTGGCCAGGTGACGT